CCACCTCCCCCTCCTTTCACTCGAGTGCCTGGCTCCGTGCGCCATCTTTCCTTCTTCCTGAGGGGTGGCAGAGCACTGGCAATTTGTGATATATGCTTTCCCACTCTCTACCCTTCACCCACACTCGGCCTCCTCTGCTTCCCGCGGACACAGTCTGTTGTCCAGAAACACCAGTCCGCACTAGCCGGCTCTCTGAGTGCCATTTGTTGGCTGCTGGTGTTGCTTTCTTTTTTTTTTTCCTGCTTCTTTTGATTTCTTGCCTCTCGCCGCTTCCCCCTCCTTTCGCTGGAGTGCCTGGCTCCGTGCTCCATCTTTGCTTCTTCCTGAGGGGCTGCGGAGCTCCATTCGAGTGTGGAGCTGCTTCCCGGTCTAGGCTACCGCGCTGGTGGGATCCCGGGGCTTTTGTTCGTTTGTTCATTTTGAATTGTTTGTTTGTTTTCTTTTCGTTTTCTTGAGTTGGGAGCCCTTTGTGGCCACGCGGAGCTGCGTGGCAAGGAACTCCCCTTCAGCTTCCACAGTCGTGCAGAGGGATCCCTGAGCACATTTCTTTTTTCGTTGTTTTTTTTTTTTCCTGTTTTTTTGGGGGGGCCTTTCTTGTTCTTTTGTTTTGTTTTGTTTTGTTTTCCCTCTTTTCCCTTTTTGTCTTTCTTCATTGCTCAGTTTCTCATCTCTCTATATATCTTCCTTCTGTTTCTGATCCCTGAATACCAGGCATTGTATACCTCTATGCCTTCTAGCCAGGCTGTACTGCAACACCTAAGAGCGACTTCCCCAGACCTCATAGCTGCATTGGTGGGATCCCTGTGAACTTTGCGGTTCTTTAACCTTTCTGATTTTTATTCATTCTTCCTCTTCCCCTTTCTGTTTTTCTCCATTTCGTAGTCTCTCATCTGTTCATTCCAACAGCAAGCTCCCCTAGCATTCTTTTTTGTTTGTAAGTTTTTGGCTCCTGTTCCTGTCTCCTGTCTCCCATATCCATCTTAGCTCCACACATAACAATCTCCCCGCTGCATCCTGCCTACCTGCAC